CTACTTACTACACACACACACACACACACACACACACACACACACACTCTCTCTCTCTCTCTCTCTCTCTCTCTCTCTAAACATTACTCGAGTATAAGCGAGGGAAATAAAAGTTACCTTTCAGTATTATAAAGATGAAGATGGTAATAAAAATAACGATTACCCTGCATGATCTTTACAGTACAGAGTATATCGAGTACGAGTACGAGTATCATTATTATTTCATACTTATATAATTCTCATAATTCTCATTTAAAACACCATTTGATTTTGTGGGGTGGGTGTATAGGTAAGTATAAGAAAGAAAGTAGATGCAATCATATCATCCCGAAGAAATAGCTATTTGTTGGGACACAGTATAGTTAGTGTGCTTCTTGTCTCTTCATCTCTTGGGTATTTCTTCGATTCGTGGGGTATCTAAAGTACGCTATTGAGACGGTTACCAGAGAGGAGTAAAGTCAAAGTTTTCTTTGAGGAGAAAAGAGAAATCAATACTGAAAGGTCCGCGTTTTCGTAGTCCTGTGAAAATCAGTGCTTGACCATATTACCGTCCCATTCGCATCAACCTAGCGCCGGTCCTCCCGATTCAAATTCGGAATCCGATTATCATACCGCAACGCCTCCATATCCCAGACTCCAAAATCAAATTTGTAAAAATGCACCATTGCCCCTCAAACAGGCAACCCCCTCGCCCTCCTATCATCCTCCACCTTCTTAGCCTCCACCCTTGACAAGAAAGCCTGTCTCTCCCCATACGCCCCCTTCTTCTTTCCAGCTGCATCCAGCTCATCCTTGTAGCCCTCCTTATCAACAAACCCAGCCCAATCCATTGCACTCTTCTCCACCGTATTTAATTTCTTCGGCTCCTTACCCACACCCACTCCATTGGTCCTTGCAGCCGCAGCTGTCCCGAAGTATAGATCTGTTCTTTGAGGCGACAAATTCTCTATTACAGGTTCGAAAATTGAGCGTCGAGCTTTTTGAAGACTGCGTTTGGGTTTAACAAAGAGTTCTGTTTCTTTCCCAGGATTATCTCCTTTTGCAGCAGTGGATTCTTGAGAAGCGAGGAAGAGTTTCGCTTCAGCCGAATTTGTCAGGACGAGCTTTTGTTCCGTGATGACTTTTCCCGCGAAATTGTAGGTGCGTTTTATCATAACCATAGAATCTGGTCCGTCGCTGAAATTGCTGCGTTCCCTAGATCCTCTATGAATTTCTGGGGATTTGCTTCCTGGCGTTGGACTTGTGGATATGTTTTCGGTATTTGGAGAGGGTTTGGGCTCGGAACTGGTGGATGGAGTGGGCTTGCCGGATGTCATGGTTGCCCATAGGGCATCTACATCGACTGTTGCGGCTTTCGTATCTGCGAGAGGTTTCTTTTCGACTTTTCTGTGAGATTGATTAACAACATAATCAAATCAAAGATGTATCAAACAACATACTCTTGAGCCCGCATACTCCTCGTCTTGACCAAACCACCCTCACCACCCTCATCCTCATCCTTCTCTCTTCCACCTTTCTTACTCTTCTTTTTCCGCCTCTTCAACCCCCTTTCGATAATAGCCTCATCGCCCGAATTCTCAAAGCCCGCATCTTCTGCTTCCTCATCATCGCCTTGTTTTCTTTTTGTAGTCTTTTTCTTGGGTTTATCTGCTACCGCAATAGAATCTACATCTTCTGGTTCTGACTCTGATGATTGATCTTGTGCCGGTACTGCATCTGGTGCGAAATCCTCATCTTCGGACGATGCATATTCTTCATCTGACGGTATAAGTTCTGGCGGCATATTGAATTTGATTCAATATGTGAAAGTGGACTGGAAGTTTGAATCGAAGTTGACGCGCGAACAAGGATTCGCAAGGCTGCAAAATCACATGTTTATAGCAATAATCTCGCGTATACAAATATTCAGCCTCACATTTTGAATTTCCTCTACTGTGCCACAGAGGGACATTTCTGGTAATAATTGTCAAAGTCTTGGATATGCATGCATACAAGCACGAAAGTTTTGTTTCTGTTGGTGAACCCCTCACTTACCTGCCATTTATCTGCATTCAAAACCAAAAAGAGTGCAGTAGGACCTATTTACCCCTATCATGAGGTATTTGATTGATGGATGTTGCAATGGTTTATCAACCGGCTCATCTTCATGCAGCGGACCTTACAAGATACACAACTCATTGGTACTGTTTATCTCCAAACCAACGTCTTCCAATCGATCGAAACCACCTCTCACCTCACTATCAAATCATCTACCGCTGTATTGTAATATCCAGATATTGATTGACAAGAAAACGGACAGACAGGACGTCAAAGATTGCTTCAGGGTCCTTGACTCCATGAAGGCTTTAACTATGTGATGTGAACAAGGGGGTTTGCATTAGATAGATAATAAACAGTATCTGGGGTAGAGATTCTCGAGATTACAAAGATTTTACTTATTAGAATTATAGTAAATCTTCATCTGATCAGACATATGGATGGATGGGTTATTGCGGCTATATTAGAGGCAGTGTTTTCATATTAAAGAGTGGGATAAATGAGTACTCATAAAAGAGTGTATCTAACTAATATCAAAGCCGGTCTGCCGATATGCGTACTATGGCTGGATAAGAAGGTATCATTTCATGTAAGTATTCCAACAAGAGACGGGGATTAACCTCGAGCATTGTATGTGAGGGTTAAAAATCGTATAGAACAACTCCACCCGCTCTCAGATACGAGACGACAACGAGGTAGATGGACGATTTTGACCAGGGAAGAATATTCGAAAATAACTTAATTGCGACCTTTCGTCCTTTGATTGGTCAATTGAGGTGGAAGGATCGTCATATTAAGATATATATATTAGTGTTTTGTTAGGCATTATCATTCCGACCTGCATAATTTTTTGGTGATAATTATAATTACCTAGTAATACCCTATACCAATCATCCATGCCATAAACAAACAAAACAAACCAAAGCTTGACCCATTGAACTGGACCCGGTTGACTGATCTACTGACCGGCGTTAAACTGATACTTAATAGGTAGATAAGATACCTACTCGTAGATGATGGATGGGTTGCTGTTCTGTGGTTACTGTACTTACTGTATTGTGACATGCTTTAGTTCATGGAAAGTCTGCATTCAATTGCATTGCATTGAACTTGAGGAAGAAATCCAATAATAGGTAGGTACCTACCTAGTATTTATTAGTATTAGTACCTGGGTAAGTATATAAGGTAGTTGCTAATGCTTTCTAACGCTCTCTCTCTCTCTCTCTCTCTCTCTCTCTCTCTTTTTCTTCCTATCTCTTCCTTCCTATCTCTTCCT